GCTAATTTAGCTTTGTCTGGATGTGTAAATGGGCAACATGAAAATGATAGTTTGAGCTTAAATGGTGAAAACAATGCAAGTGTTGCATTGATGACATGTTTTGCAGCTTTCAGGTGACCTGAAAAAGCAGCTGTTTCAGGTTTAGGATTTTAAAATGGCTCTAAGCGACTGTCTCAGCATTGTGTGCAAAGTAGAAAATTGCCGATTTCACCTTTCAATCTCAGCTCATTAATGGTGTTATTGAATGAGAACATAAAGGCCTCCAGTACACATCATAAACTAAGCCTTATTTCTGTCCGTTTGCTCTTGAATGGTAATAAAATTCTCCTTGGCTCAACATGAGGTCACTGTCTGAAAGACTGGAATGCGATGCCACCGACATACTGAACGCTTAGCCCAGAAAATCTGTATTCGCTGTCACTCTAAATTGTATTACTCTGTTTATATTGATATTTTTAATTTAATTAGCCTAGGAGGACCCCCCATTTTGATTAGTTTACTCTTAGCTGTTTCTTGCAACCCCTGAGCACTTCCTTAAGATCTTAAGAAGATGTCAAATTCAAGGTTGAAAGAGTTTAATAAAGAGATGGTCAGCACTGTCTCTTTAAAATGACCACTCATGGCAAAATAAAGGGTAAACACCATTTAACTCATATACTGAGTTTCCATTCTTTGGCACATAAAGCAGAACACTTGGTCCCACTTGCAAATCAAGTTTTTTTGCTCGACTCCGTTACTTGGCATCCATGAGCATCTCACTGTGTTAACAAGGCTCAGCATTTTTAAGGTAATTAGTATTAAATTAGTGTTTAAAAATGGTTCAATAGGGAGTTTATGTGATGTTTTTTTTTTTTTTTTGCTCAGGAGCAGTGTTGAAATGTAGACAGACACAGGTTTGTTAAATCAGTGTTATGCCACTAAGAGCCTCTAAGGAAGCTGGGATGGGGTAGATCCAAGACGTGGCAAAATGGAGTGGAGATTAACCTTTATTCTCCGTAATATGGTGGCACCCCTGAGGATTAGTCATGTCTGCCCTTCGTCACAGCTTCCCATGAGACTCCTTGCATTTCTGACTTCTCCCTAGGTCTAGCATTTCATCCTTAGTGATGAGGCCTTGGGGGAGGAACGAGAACCTCGCTGGCATCTGAGAAATAACAGTTATCCTCCACCATGAGCTGATGGTGACTGTCTATACTGCTGGAGGAGTTTTTGGTAATACCTGACAAATGATGTTTTTTGTGTTTTGTACACCCCATGTCTGATAACCCAGGAAGCATGTTTGTGTTTGTAAAGAGACTAAACTCTTTACTCCATAAAGCTGCCTCTAAAAGGTTGAGCTGTGCTTGAAATGAAAGAAACGTTGCTGAAAGAATTAAACAGCCCTAGAAGGCTACTGAAACCCTAGCTGACTGGCACACCAAAGCTAGGCAGGGTTGATATTGTGGTACCCTAAACTTAAAACATTTCCAAAAAGGATAAGGCTGTTCTGATTGCTTTCCTCGCCAGTTTCTTGCAACTTCTGTGCATCCTCTGCTTTTTCTTGTTCTTTAATTAAACTCTGTTATCCCTTTGCTCCAAGGAAAAAGGTCTGCGTGAAGGGGGCTGTGAATAGACTGGAGCCCAGGGCAGTTGGTGAGAATAGAGGCTGGCATCTCGGGTTACTGGGCTGAAAGGGAAGTGCAATTAGTGTTGGGTTTCTGAGAGTCCACAGAATGGCTGCTTCATGCACTCTTGATGGAAGATTTATTGCCCTCAGGATCTTAAAAATGGCAGTGTTCAGTGCAGAGACAAGACAAGTGACCACGTGTATAAACAACCTCTGCAAGTTAAACAGAGCAGTCATTCAGAGAACCAACTTTATAGATAACCTTAATTGTTGCTTGGTCAAGACTTTGACTGACAAGATGTACAACTTAAACATTTGTGGCTCCACTGCAGGCGTAGCTGTGGCGACGTTTTCCCCTCAGAGCATTGAGGATATGCAAACTGGGGCGCTATTGTGTTCCTGTACAAGGCAGTTTGCTCATTGATGCCTGTGGGTTGGAGAAGGGTGCAGTGATAAATGCGAGCGGTGGAAGGCTGGCGCGAGAGCCACAAACGAATCTCACAACGCCATGGCCTTTGTCTGTAACAAAGAACAGTCTGAAGTCCACACTCTTTGACTTCATTCATCCTTCTGACCCTGATGCACTTTCTCCCTTCTGGGTCTTTGTATAATTTAACTCTGGCCTAGTGGTGTTGGGTTGAATATACCCTGAGAGATACAGTGCTTACACTATTTTAGTGTCAGTAGTAGTTGTGGAGTGAGTGTGTGTGCTAAAGTTTCATTTCTATTTTTCCAGTGTAGAGTAAATGATCGATGGCACTGTGTAGTGAATGAGACATGTATTTGTGTGCGTAATAGCATGATCAGCTTAATAAGAGTGATGTGAGCAGCTGGGGAACAATTGAGAAACTATCACAGCAGCTCCCGAGTGACACTCCTCCTCACAGACAGGATACAAAACACAATGAGAAACCTTTAAAGGAAAGATGTGATGCAGATTTGACTTTTAATGAAGAATTGTTTAGCTTTTAAAGATCAAAAATGCAAGTTTGCACTGTGCAGCAGTATTTTGTAGGTACAGTAAGTATGACTATCAAATCGGCTTGATATCACCAGATACTCCTGCTATTGGCAGGTAGTAAATCACCACTCACTCCATTGAGAGTAACCTTGCGGTAACTAAGCAGTTTCCCTAAAACTGGAAAAAGAACGCACGATGTTGTGGTGGAGAGTTCCTCTTCTGTCAGCCCAACTCTTTCAACATCAAGTTTCCTCTTTCCTATTTCTGGTGTTGAATTTAGTCCCAACAGCAACCACGGCATGTCATGAGTACTACTACAGTGATGGGTAGCAGCGTCTCTTTTCACAAATGTTGCCCTGTTATGTAGGAGTACAGTGTTTTTGCTAGTGTAGGAGTTTTTAGATGGGATGTGACGGAGCACATAAATATACACTTTAAAAAGGGTTCCTGTTTACTTTCAGGTTAACCTTCCTTCAAAAACTTTGTCACCATTCTACCCGCAAGGTTTTGTGGGTGACGAACTGCTGCCAAATACTGTTTTGCTTCCAAGCAACACACCATTGAGAGGAAGTTGAGGAGGTCAGTACCTGACATCAACAGCTTTGTGAATCATTCAGCAGTTTATTCAGCAAAGCACAGATTGATTTAAGATAATCCTTTATTGTCACAGCAATGTTAACATCATGTACCTGACCTCACCTGAACTTCGGCTGTTAACCTAGAGCAATACGTAATAATAACACTATCATGTAAAAAATCCTGCATGCATCCTCCTCCCCCAGGCAGAAATGGTTCTGGGTTCTGACTTTACATACTGTACATAAGGACTTGTGCCTAATATGGGCAGCATGGTGCATTTGGAGAGGAGTGGCAGAGCACTACAAAGCAGATTTGTGGGGGATACAGAACATGAATATAAACATCTGTTTGAAACAGTTTTAATTCAACAGCTGTCTTCAGCGAGAGTGCTCGGTTTCCTTGGACAGGTGACACACACACACACACACAACAGCAATTTCGTAACAGAAACATGCATTTTGAGGCCACTCCCTTCACTTCCCCTCTCACTCACCCTCTTTCTTTTCCTCATAAAATGATTGTGCCCAGCTGCCACACTGTGAGAAATGTCAGCCATGTTGGCAGCAAAGCAGCAGCAGAAAAATCCATGTCGTAGTGACATCTGACTGACTGTGTGTGTTGCCGTTACTCACCGTCCTCTGATACAACATGGTGATTTCAGGTACAGTCCTGCGGGGACTCTGATGCAGTGTTCAGTGCTTTGCAGGGCGTCAGGCAGCAGGAGCTGTGCGAGACTGGTAAATCTAGATGAGAGCTCACTTCGTCCTTCATCTGCAGCTTTCAGTGAGCAAAGAGCAGTGTAAGCAGGTGGAATAATATCTATCACACGCAGGGCTTTGTTTTGAGTTGAATGTTTCATTGTGAATTTATAGTGCGAGAGTGTGCAGTATGTGGAGGAATATGTCAGCAGTTACAGGCTGTCACTGAGTTTTCGAGGAATGAATTGCTGCTAGTGCTCAAACATTTTCTTTTATCACTTCGCTGCTTCAGGCCTTTCAAAATGTGAAAAAAATGAGAGTAGTCTGAAGATGTCACCTTGGTCTCCTGGAAAATGTGATGGGCATTTTCACTATTTGCTAAATTGTCCTGGTAAGTGACCAAATAGATTTGCTGTTAAAACCTTGTACATAGGGGGTTTTATGCTAAGTATTCTTTCCCCTCTGGTTCCACTGAGTAGAAGAAGAAATGTTCAGTCTTACATGGTCAGTTTGGTGCTTTCCTTCAGTGAGGAGAGTAGTTTTCCAGGCGGACTCACTGACCTGGGTACTCTGGGTTCAGGGAACACGCCTCGATGTGACTCATAGCACGGGCAGGTAAAACTCACTGATTCATGGCGGAAACGCTTCCTCTCCCACCTGTCACACCTACAGCCTACCTGGCCCACGTCACCCTCCTAAGGGTGCATGTGTAAGACAGTGCATGTGTAAATATTTACACAAGGTAAGAGTAATAAAGCAGCTAATTGGCCAAAATAGGCTCTAATGAAGATTTTGATCAATATGTGCAGGTCATTTATTGATTTGTGTTGGCTTGCAACAAAAGCCTTTCTCAACCTAAATGGTGCTTTAACGTCTACTGGAAGTCTCTTTCCTTTGATTGGAGCACATTGAATTTGCTGTGTTTTCCAAAAATGGACTAATGAGGATGAGTTTTATGGCTTGGCTTTTTTTTTTTTTGTAAGCGATGTGGGAGTAGTTTGATTTGTCAGGTATTTAATTTGCTAAATTTGCCACAATCAAATGTCTTATTTGACACACAACCAGCACAATTATAAGTGGTGACTCTGTTTGTTGTCCTCCATTACTTGAGTGCTACTGGTGACTTGGTTAACTTGTAAATGTTTGTGTCTGGCAGCTGTTTGACCGAGTGAGGGAGGACAACCCTGACTTCCACAAGAAAATCATCCCCATCAGCAGCGAGCTGATGCAGCCGGGCCTGGCCATCAGCCCTGAGGATGTGGAGAAGCTCACCGCCTGCATCAACATAGTCTTCCACTGCGCTGCAACCATCCGCTTCGATGAGCCGCTCAAGTGAGGATCACATGATTTACTGTAATGCATGAACACAAACACCTTGGCTACTCGTTACTATTCCTCTATGATAAACACAAAACATACTTTTTATCCACTCACTGATTCATCCCTGCTTTCTGCTGCCACTGATTAGAACCATTTTGGTTACAAACTCTGTGCCGCTGCACTTGATGTCTTGCTGAACCAAATCATTTACCAAAGACTTGCACAACTACACGTTGTTGCTGTGTAAATATTTCATGTAGAAAGGAACCTTCAGGGCCATTACTCTTGGGTAGTGGCCCTGAAGGTTTGTAAGCCAAGGGAGGGACATGCATCAGAATCCTCGGTAGTCTCTGTTTAAGGTTTGACACTTTGCAGGCTGACACCTCAGCTGGGCTTTATCCTCTGCAGGTTTTTATCCGCCCTTAAAGGGTCATTCTGTGTATTGAAACTTGGATGAAGTTTTGATATTTCGGGCACTGATTTCTGTCTGTAATAATGGTATTCATTAAGGTGATTGCTGAGATCTTAGGTCAACCAGTGAGACAATCAGAAAGAATTTAAGGCAACTCCTGAGGTTAACCCAGCTAATTTAGAAGAGGAAACAAAAGTCAATGGTAAAATTAGGCCTGAAATTAACAGTTTCAGTTATATAAAATGCTAAAAATGAGAGAATGCCCATCACAGTGGCCTTAACAAAACACTAATTAATTATTACTAATAACAAGACAATTATTTTGGCTTTCGGTAAAATGAGCTGTTGTCCAAACATCCATCAGCTACCTATGCAGAATTTTTACATCATAGTTTCATACTTGGGTCGGTAGGATCTTTAAGCAGGTATGTATATTGCATTCATGTGGTATTTAACTCTTCAGTTTAACTATATTCTGCAGGAGCCCTATAAAACTGTAGCTTTTACCTTCTCGAGACCCATTGAGGAGGGGCTGGGTAGTGACCCCCAATGCTGGGAAGCACTGGTTTATGTCCTGATTTTATCCAGACTTTTCTGAGCACTTGTTTCCACCAGACTTTGCAGTAATGTGTCCAGATCCCAGTAATACGAGGAAGTTCTAATAAAATGCTCCTCTGAAGTGGCACCATGTCGTTCTTACCACAGCTAGACTGTTATCTAGCTGTTACATCTGACTCATCAGAAGAGAAACGGATGGCTGATGAGTCAGCTGTAGAAGGGGCACATGTGCATATGGTCCCGGAACATGGTGGGAGGAAGATGACGTTCCCACACACAGAGCTCGTCCTCTAACAGCCACCACCACCACCCTCACAGGCAACACTGCTGTTGCCGTGGTGCTTGTTCCACACTGGTGTTTACAGGCTGGTACTGCCTGACCACATCTGATTCACGCTGGTGGACCTTGCTCCCACAACACACCCGTCCATCTCTCTGCTTTATTGTGTTGCACACACACACCTTGCGAACACCACCCACAATCTGCCAGAGCAGCAGTACGTATATCTACACGGATCTCAGTTTTTTCTTCCTGCCTCCTCGGGCAAAGCAGACTCTGTGCTGTTGCACACTTGATGCAGATCCACTGCTGAATGAGGCTTTACCAGTGTTGGTGTGTGAGCCACAGGAGCTTTACAAGGAAACTAGTCACTTTTCTTACCAAGATTCCTTTTTCTCCATTTTTTTGACCTTTTTTTTTATTTATTTTTTTAAAGCATTGCCCTTGTAATCTAAATCTTTGACTAGAGTTAGATTAAGGTGGTTCCTCTTCCTCACTGTAATACGAGAGGATGAGTTTTTGGGAGTTTGGTGCTAAAGTGATTAATCAGACTTGCTGTAACACTGTTCCCAAAACTTGTTTATGTAATTCACACGAGACACTTTATTATCAGTGTTAGACAACATGACGTTTACATATAACATGTACAGATTATTACCAACAGCTGTTGTTGAATTTGTTCACAGTACAGTCCTGTTTTTAGTATCAGTGTAGTTTCTCCTTAAGATTTCAGAGCTGTTTTGTTCTGTTTTCTTATCAACCTGTGTGTGTGATTTGTGTGCAGCTTGGCTGCAGTTTCGCTTTGCGGTTAATAAAGTGTCTTTCTAAGTATCTCTGTTAATAAGCAGTAACTTGAATAATGAATTATTCACAACATTGACCACAGAGATGCCTCCTTAGTGCCTGGTGTGTTGTATTGTGCAGAGTGTTCAGACCATTTTTTATTTAATTTTTTTTAAATACCTACTTTGTAGAGCTTTTACAACAAGCTTTGGCAACACTGTGCGTAGCTATGCTATGGTTATGACAGTAAAGGAAACTTTCTTTTATGCTTGATGACAAAACTCCATAGAAACATCAGGAGCAGAAAACAGACTTGTCTTCCAGTGCAGACATGGAAAAACATTGCAAAGAAATATGATTTAAATATGTTAGTTGTGCAGCTCTGCCCCCAGCAAAGTGTTTACTGAAGGGCTCATGGCTGGACGAATGTAGTATGAGCTGAAAACTGAAGATAACGAGACTGACAATTATTAGAAGAGCAGATGTTTGCTTAGATCCTCCTTGTTCTGTCTTGGCCTCATTCCTCCATTTGGTGTCAAGTCTCGCCATTGCTTCGTGTCGTTCTGCTCCAGCTCATAATCGTGTTCTGCAAATCCTCATTTGATTGAAACAGTAAACACAGATGCTCTCGTATGCACATGCACAAAGAGATGTTAGAAGTCTGATAAATATGCACACACGCTCAAAGCCTACTCCCTACACACAGTCTCATTTGTACACTTTCCGCCCCCGCACACCCAGAGACGCACATTATCTCACACTGTATCTCTGCTATCCGACAGGCATGCCCTGCAGCTGAATGTGATCGCCACCCAGCAGCTCCTCAGCCTGGCCCAGCAGATGAAGCACCTCGAGGCCTTCATTCACATCTCCACCGCCTATGCAAACTGCAACCGCAAGCACATCGATGAGGTCATCTACCCACTGCCTGTTGAGCCCAAGAAGCTCATCGAGTCTCTTGAGTGAGTGGATGTTGGGCTGGTGTGTTCCTCCATTGTCGTGGAATCAGTTCCAGTTCAGGTTGATTCATATCCTGTGGAATTTTATGTACATGCCAGCTGTTTCTGAAGACAGTGGTATGTCTGCTACACCTGAAGACCAAATCTGTTTTTAACAACAGCAGCTTCATAGCGACTAGGGCTTGAAGAAGAATCACATCAGGCTTTTGATGACAACTTCTGATACTTGACACTGTTAGCATTCAACTGCTACTGATACATTTCAGGTTTCCAGTCCTGGTGTGGTTCCTCGTCACTAAATCACTGCCCACATGTTTGATTTATTCAGTGATTCGTACAGAATGAATGTCTGGCAGGCAGGGTTGATGAATTTACTTTATCAGTCAAGGCTGTTAAGACTCAGGCTGCTAATAATAGGCATTTACACACAGTATCAGGCTGTATGCAGTAGTTAATGATAACAGTCAGATGGGTCATTTATCAGAACATGAAATACAAGTACAGTGTTGCAGTTTTATTTCTTGACTGTCTCTTTTCAGGTGGATGGATGATGCCATTGTGCGGGACATCACACCGCGGCTCATCGGCGACAGGCCCAACACGTACACCTACACCAAAGCCCTGGCCGAGTGCGTGGTGCAGCAGGAGCAGCACAGAATCAACATCGGCATCATCAGACCCTCCATAGTGGGAGCCAGCTGGCAGGAGCCTTTCCCTGTGAGTCTCTCTTGCACAGCTCAACCACCTTTACACTTTGTGCTGTAATTAATGAGTGGTTACTGTTGTGTCATATCATATTCAGGGGTGATCAACCCCAGAAAAAGCTCACACCTTGTCCATGATTTCATGAAACCTCCTTGTGATATCAACAGTAATACTCGGAGCTGGATTTCTAGGTCCCCTGCTCATCATGAGTTCTCTTAAAGCAAATGGAAATAAGATTGATCGACACAATCGTGCACAGGTCAATACTGGTCCCCCTGTGGGTTTTATCTTAAGTGGCCCAGGATTAAAGCAATCTGGTTAATGTCTGTGCTGAAGACCTGTGATTTATCGAAGTCGTCTTCAATCAACTCTTAACAGCTGCTGTAAAGCAGTGGTTGCGGTGGGTAGAAATAAGACACCACTGACGGAGACACACTGACGGACTGAATGACCTAGAGTGCAGAGAAGTTTGTGTGAAAGCCTGAGAGTTCACTGAAAGCTGAGCACCGTGCTACGTCATCCTGCTGCAGGCATCCGAGCATCTTCAACTTTTGCTTTTCCACTGAGAATTAACAGCTACTGAACCTGTCTTTGGATATCAGTCACTTAAAGTGGAATTTTATTGATCTAAAAGTAATCAGGCTTTGGTTTGGATCTTGGCACTGAAAAGAGGCGCTGTCTGAGCTGGAGATATGTCCAGAAGCCCAAGTTTAACAAATCATAATATTCTTTCATATGATCAGTGGTGACCATATGACTGGTTTTATTTACATTAGCTCTTTGTAAATACAAGATTCCTGAATTAATTCTCTAGTGCCAGCAAAATGTTTTATCATTTAGAGAGTTGGAAAACCGAGAATGGAGAGAGACCCCCATTAGCAGAGTCTCATTTAGTGCAATTAAAAAGAGGCCTTTTTCCCAGCCTTAAAACTGATGGTACAGTCGTTATAGTCTTTATGGAGCCGTGCAGGAGGTTGTAGTTAACCTTAGGAAATATAGTCTTAATAATCAAATCAAATAAAAAATACATTCATTATGTTTATTATTAAGTTAATCCTACCCAGTACAGATATTACAATTATGTAAATGGGGCTTTGTGATAATGTGATTATTGATGTGTTTTGCATTAAATGACAGAAAATTGAAGCTGCTCAGAACCTTTTCATGAAATAATCGAAGGTGAACTGAAGCTGATGATGCACACAAAGAAATAAGGCAAAAACTTCAGGGAAGTCGTCATTTATCTGGTGTCAGGAAATGTCGGCCTTGTTTGTGCACCGGGACCAAGACAGTAGTTCTGGCTCTGTGCTCAGCCTTCAGCTGTAAACTCAGCCAAGCAGAAACTCTTCAAAAGGCCTCACCCGTGCTTGGATATGCAGTTGCCTTGGCAGTTCATGCCAGTATTCACTGAGGAGAGGGGGATGGGGACAGCTTATTTATGTTTGTGTTTACAGCCACACGTTCTGAAATTGTGTGACCCGGTGTCTTCACCAGTCTCCCATTTAACCAACACAAGTAATGCAAAATACAAATTCAAAGATGTGTGTTCCACTGTAGCTTGGTATGAAGCTATCAACGGATTGCATCCATGTGTATCTGCACTCTAGAATATTATTAGACTCAGAGCACGAACCAGCCTTGACCACGTAATGGGTCTCCAGTCCCACACATTGGAAGCTGCATCAGTCTATAACCAGTGGTTTCATCCATTTTTAATAGAGTGTAATTGAAGTTGACAGCCGCTGCTACCCAGCCTCCCCTTTATCTCCATCACAGGAAGTAACATAAGCCTGAACAATGGACTCGATGTCCAACCACATACGTGTTGCTGTTAAGCGTTTTCAACTTGATGTCTTGTGACCATAATTGTCTCAAGAGGAAGGTGTGTTACATCTTCTCTGTTGTCACACCCCAGGGTTGGATCGACAACTTCAACGGACCCAGCGGAGTCTTTATAGCTGTGAGTAAGAATGCTGCTCTTGAATCTAAAACACAAACACAAAGACAAATTCTGAAGTCTTAGTAAATCAGTGTTGTCCCTTATCAGGCTGGTAAGGGGATCCTGCGAACCATAAGAGCCAGCAATGATGCGGTGGCTGACCTGATCCCCGTGGATATGGTCATCAACCTCACCCTGGCTGCTGGCTGGTACACTGCTGTGCACAGGTCAGTCAACAGACCCACATGTTGGTGCTGGAGGCTTTGAACCTGCATCTCTGGTCTTAAAAGATGTGTTCATGATTTTTCTGAGCTGTAATAAAGGAATAATAGATGTTTTTTTTACTGTTACTAAAGCCTATAAACTTGTCAGATCCACTTGATTTGTCTGAGACTGCTGAAGCCTCACTAACTTCAGAAGCCGACCTGTTTCATTGTTCATAAAGGTACTTGACTGTCGTCTTAAAATGGGCTTGAAAAATGCTGAGCCTGTTTTTGTTAAGTGTTTTTTTAGGTAAAACATTTTAAAGATTAGTGTTTTTTAGGTAAAACATTTTAAAGATTATGTCCAAAGATGTTGAAAGTTGAGCTTAAGCTACACTGCTCAAAGTGTATGTGTAGATTTTTGGAAATTAACCCCTTTTTACATGCAAGTAACCCTGTAAAGTGCAGGGTATGTGGACTGATATCTGTTTATCGATATTCTCATGACTTCCTGTTCCACACTTTGCAGACCTAAAACAGCTCTGGTGTACAACTGTACAACTGGAGGCATCAATCCGTTCCACTGGGGAGAGGTTGGTAAGTACACTGTTGTCTTCCTGAAAAATAATAGAAACCTGTCGGTGCAGTAGGTATTTATAGAGCAGTTTGGAGCTGCCGGCATCCCACAGCTCACTTTCATCATCGCAAATCAATACTCCAGTGCTGTGACATAATGTCCCTGTAATGTGGTTGAGTTGTCGTTGGTGTTCTGTGGACAGTGTCCGCCACCTGCTGGAGAGATGAGATGGATTTAACGTTTGGAGGAAACATTTTTTTATTCAATAAGACTTTTATCCATCAAACCATGTTTCTAAAACATTTCAGTAAATAACAGGGATTTCAGTTTGGTTGTTTTATTTTGGTTTTAAGAACCAGGAAGATGTATAATTCACACTGTAAAAATTATCATTATTTGTTATTTCAAAAATCTCCAAGATACAATGGAGAGCCAATTTGTGCATGTTCACTAAAAAGAACAAACTAATTGTAGATGATGAAACTCCATCTTAAAGATGCAGTACTCATACATTTTTAATGTAGTTCTTATTTGCGTTGTAAAGATCCAAAGATGTTCCTCATTTTAATTAGAAAGTAGTGCTCCACGCCTTCATGATTTGCCAGTACAGTTCTTATTTTGATGTCATTACAGAGGTGATGATATTTCACGTGATGAGTGAAAACTCATTGTTTCCCTCCCAGCAGTCATCAGATACAGTGGGATTAAAGGGCTCTGGGTGTCTGACTGGCAGACCCTCTTTCCCGTTTCCTCTCATTAGCAAATATGTTCGCTTTACCGAGGAAATTGCTACCAGATGGCTTGTGGTGGGATTACGTCTCATCGCTGAAGCTCCGTTACGAACATGGAGCTATGTGCTCTTAATCTCAGCAGGCTAGGAATGAAGCTAATCTAAAACAGAGGATCAGATGGCACCAAATAACAAAAGGTGCCCTTGAGGTCCCCCCCCCCCATACAATTCAAAAAGCAAGTAAAGGAGGCAGATCAGCTCCTTGTCACTGGCAAAGAATTGTGGGTACGCTAGCCCTTGGAGGGCAGCTCAAGGTTAGCAGCGATACTCCCAGCCAGGCTGCAAGGAGCTGGGCCGCAGCTGGCTGTCACCTCAGATCTGGTCATCTCAGCCCCTGCAGCCACTACATATCTGTTGCCATGGAAACAATCAGCGTAAGGCCTAGTGTGCGTACTGTGTATGATGTAATTCTGCAGTCACACAGCCGCTCTCTGTAGCAGTGGGTGGCTGCTGCTGGATTCTGGGAGGAGAGGGGTCTGCTGCACCGAGACTCATGTTATGATTAAGGCCAGCCATGGTTCCTGAAAGTCATGGCCTTGTTATAGAATGTGCAGTCTGTCCATTTTACCTGTCATTGTGTCTAGTTAGTGGACATTTATATCCAAGAGTATAACATTTGTTTTGACCTTTTTTTTTTTTTCTTCATTGCATCGTAACACTCCGACTTTAACACCGACTTTTAGAGCAGTGTTAACCATAGTTTGTGGCTCTCAAAGTATCCTAATTGAGCTTGGCATCCATTTATCTGAAAATTATATATACCTAGTGATCTTTAAAAAAAAAAAAGGTGGTTTAACAACACTTAGTGCTGTTAAAGTGTTTCTAAAATCCTTGGAGTCTTCTAGCAGGATGAAATTTGCAAATTACTGATGAAATATACAATTTGAGATTAGAAATATGCAGTTTAAATCTTTATTGTGCAGCAAACATAATATATTTTCATCCAGATGGTTAGACGAGATTTCAAGGATTGTGGAAATGCCTTGAACAGGGCCAGGTGGGTACTTAGTTCTGTGTCTTCTATCTAATGGTAGTCAGTAAAAGGCACACAGTATTAATGAAAACTAACTATTCATTTTGGTTTCATCTTTGTGTCAGAAAACACTAGCTGTGTCTAATCCATCATCTCAACCGTTTGCTGTTCCCAGAGCACCACGTGATGTCGTCCTTCAAGAGGAACCCTCTGGAGCAGGCTTTCCGCAGGCCCAATGCCAACATCACCTCCAACTACCTGATCAACCAGTATTGGATCTTGGTCAGCCACAAGTTCCCTGCCTTCATCTATGACCTCTTCCTGCGTCTCTCTGGACAGAAACCTCAGTAAGACCCACAAGCAGGTTTTTGATAGATGGAAATGTATTTCACCAAGTTCAGCTGTGGTAACCACTGTGTGACACCCCCCAAACTTTAGGATGATGCGTATATTTAATCGCCTGCACAAGGCCATCGGCCTGCTGGAGTATTTCAGCAACCAGGACTGGGTCTGGAACTCTGAGAACATGAGCATGCTGATGAGCCAGCTAACACCTGAGGACAGGAAGGTACATGCTGCCAGTTTGGGTCCATTGTTACTGCAGAACCAGGTTGTTTCAGTCTGTCACAGTAGAAAATACAACACTTCATTTTTCTTACTTTACTGTATTTTACTAATAATTCTTCTGCACTCCGTGGTGTTGTATGGCTAGTATATCAGAGTACTTCTTCCACAACTGAGGAAGTTATTTATTTAATCCTAGGTTTGACAGCAAACACACACTGTGAATACAGCACATTGTAATAGTAATATGAAGGCTGTGGCCCCATCTACTGAGAGAGAGTGGAATTTCACATTCATTTGCAATGCATAAGAGCTTTCACTTGACTTTAGTATCATCTGCCTCCTGTGTTTTCTCCATCTGGCAGACATTTAACTTTGACGTGCGCCAGCTGAACTGGCCTGAGTACATTGAAAATTACTGCATCGGCACCAAGAAATATGTCCTGAATGAAGAACTGTCT